TACCAGATGGCTAGGCCTCAGACTGACGAAGCCTCTTGGATGAGGGGCGAAACGTTTCTTTTTTAACAAAAAAAAACGAAGTCCAGATGACATGATTCAACCTTTTTTGTTGTTATATACCTGGATGACTGAGAAAACAAACTTTGTGTTTTATTCAACTCATTCACAATAACTCAGTATTGTTCAGTTGTACCACATTAAAAAAAAAAGTTTGAGGTCAGTAAGCTGAACCAGAATAAATATATAAAGCGCACCAGATTATAAGGCTCACTGTCAATTTTCGAGAAAGTTAAAGAATTTTAAGTGCACCTTATAGTCCGAAAAATACGGTAATTTGAAGATCACAACCAACAATCACTACAAAATAAAAGTGAGGTTGTTGCACAGTAAACGATGGCGATGATGAGAAAGATATGGTCAAATAATTAAGACATTTCTTCTTGATACTTTTCTAAAGATTAACAATAGGGGGTCAGGGAGCAATGCCCCCCATAGATTTCTTGTTCTCGGTTAGTAATATCAACTATAATGTAAAATGAATAAGGTGTATGGCAGAATGTTATTCACAAACTCCCATTATAGTTCGCTTTCTTCAAAATAGATTATATAACAGTATAAAAATATCCTGAAACTCTGATGGCTTTTATTTTTGATGCACCAATTTGAGTCATTGAACACTACATAGTTTCATTTAATTTCTAGTAGTGATAACATGTTTCAAGTTGAATAACGGGGGAGCAAAAACTCAATTTGGCAATCAAAAGACCAGAGCTTGATTAAGATTAAAAGGTTTGTATTTAAAAACAAAACTGGATATTACATTTAAAAATGGTATCAAAACAACTGTACTTATTGCTGGCCCCATAGGAACAATTACAACCATCTAAAAAGGAACAGTAAAAAATCTTCAAAGTTCATGCTCAATAATCCAGGTAAAAAAAAAAAAAAAAATCCAATAAAGTTCAGTCAGGTCCTCTGGACGGTTTCTGTTTTGTTGAAACGTTTCATCTTCCATCCAAAAATCAGTCCAAGGAGCCATAACAAACTCGGTCCCACAAGCAGCACACTCACATAGTGGGTCAACCAGTATAACGGTGATAAGATGGTTTCTGGATTAATGAACATGAACTTTGATGTTTTGAACCACTTTGGCTATGGCTGCCTCAGAAAAGTGGACAGGGGTGAGGGCAGACTACTGAAACCATCTCATCACCATCAACCTTGTTGGCCTTCTATGCCAGTGTGCTACTTATGGGACTGAGTTTGTTGTGGCTCCTCAGACTGATGAAGTTCTTTGGATGAAAAAGAAAAGAAACCGTCCAGAGGACCTGACTGAACTTTGTTGGAGTAAAATAAATCATTCAACAACATGTAAATTCTGATACAGTTGTATCCCAGTTTACTGCTGTGATAAGTACAATACTTGTTTCTAAATTAGGGAATTGATATCAAATCAATTAAAGCTTGAGTTTATGTATTTATTAATTTTTTGTATCATCTGTCGCACCATATACAACTGTAAAACACAGGTGACGCAGCGAGATGGAAAGTATTACAGTTCGTGTCCTCAGAAGGTTTAAATATGTCAGGGAAGGTGCTTAAGAACATTAATTTCCATCTGTTTCACAAAATAACCTTCAGAGAACTGATACTGAACAGGTTAGTAAGTTCTACCAATGCGACTTTTAGACAATGTTCCAGCCATGAAGGTTGATTTGATTCGTCAACCTCACATGCATAACATGTTTCTGGGTTTATTCTTAAATTCAGAGCTTCTCTAGAAGAAAAAAATGCCTCCAGCTCTGAAGGCAAACATGAAGATGATCTATATCAACAAATATGTTTAATAGTTTTTGGAAGACATTTTCGGTGGTATACCGCAAGGCTTATACATCGGTCTAGTTTCTTTAGATGATTTGTTTAACATAAGATGGTTTAGTTGTTTGTTTTTCTTTGGCTTCCCAGCCTGTTCTGAATCACTTGAAGCATCAACACAAGCAGCTTGGCTTCTGTCACCGTCATCAGAGGAATAAATAGCCCACGCTGCCTCTGCCCAGTCTACGGTATGTTCAGCTGTTTCATTCCAGCAACACAGAGATCCAGCTCATTGCGGTGGAACAGAGAGGATCTACTGCAGAACTTCAGATCAGCTTGTAAGAAACAAGGGAAATCCAAGCAATAAATGTTCCCATCCTGCATCATGTTTTAGAAAGTATTAGGTTGGTTTGAACGGTGATAATTATGTACCAACAGAGGATATGAGGTCAGAGTGGGAGTCAAAGGATCAGACACCACCCACCTGCGATCTGCTCAGCCTTCTGCTGAAAAACAGGCGCCCCACTGGAGCTGTCAATGAGGTTTGGCCCAACCTCTTCATCGGAAATGCGTAAGTGACGATCTCACTGTGGGGGCCCCTGCTGCAACGTGCTGATTCCGATTGTGAAACTGTTGCTGCAAACAAGTCGTGTTATTTGGCCAACTGACGGAGCGAATATGTAATCTGTACATTTGAGTCACGAGTGATGTATTTTGCAGACATATGCTTCCCGCAGGGAAAAAAAAAAAATGGGTAAGACTGACGTGTCCCTCCATTATCTCTTATAATATTCACAGGGCCACAGCTCGGGATAAAACACTGTTAAATAATCTGGAAATAACACATGTAGTGAACGCTGCAGATGGCCCACAGCACATTGACACTGGGCCGCGCTTCTACAAAGACACCAACATAGAGTATCGTGGAATCGAAGCACCAGACAGCAGAGACTTCGACTTGAGCCCATTCTTCGTGGAGACAGCCGATTTCATCCATGAAGCTCTGAGTCAGAAAGGTACGAAACCGTTGAACCGCAACAAGACGGAAGCAGGCTGTGATACCCTGATTTCAACAAATCTGCTAGATCACAACAAAAATCATGAACATTTGTTGTATACATATTCACACAGAAGGTGATGAATAAATATTACAAGCAAATCAAGATGTTCATGAGAATAAACGTCACAATTTTATATTTAGGAGCTTTTAGGGACACGTGTGTCCTGTAGGTGTCTTTATCTTGTCTGCCTGAAAAGTACCGGTAGTCACTGTGCAGTTTGGTGTCATAGTGTGTACCACACTGAACATGGACCACAGAAAGGTCAGGATAAAACTGTCTTAGAAGCTTAGAATTAAAAATCATTGACAAACACAATAAAGGCTATAAAACCATCTTCAAGCAGCTTGATGTTCTTGTGACTGCACAGATTATCCAGAAGTTTAAACTCCACAGGACTGAAGACAACCTTATAGAGAAAAACACGACAAATCCAAGAGGCAAATGATAAAAATGGTAACCAAAGAGCCAAAATAACTAGAGATTAAAAGGTGAACTCTAACATTAAGGTACAGCAGTGTCAGAAAGCTTGCCTCAGTCAAAGATAATGGGTCCTCCAACAGGATAATGGCACGAAATGCAGCTAAAAACACCCAAGAAAGTCTAAAAGCCAAACATGTATCGCAATCCTCGGTTTTCAGACCCATTTGCAGGCAGGCAAGGAGAGCAGGAGTTTACAACAAAACAAAAGGCTGGCGAGGCAGCAAAACTTACACGAGCCAGGGGCGAACGGGAACAGGGCAGAACTGGTCTTCAGGCAAAACAGGAACAAGCGGAACAGAGGAGGACCGGGACGTCTTAGCGGTGAAGAGGAAAGGTTTAAAGAAGGCTGAGGGAGATCGAGAGATGAGTGCACATGGGATGATACTGATTGTAAACTGGTGTGACTGATTAGAGGAGAAACGGGCTGAGGAGTAGTGACAAACACAAGAAGCAGAAAAGAAAAATACAGACACAGAAACACAAAGAAAGCAGACAGGACAGAATATGTCCCACTGCATTGTTCTGACGTGGCCTTCTGGTCCCTGATCTACAGTGAAACCTGTTGAACATTGGTGGAAGGAGCTTGAAACGTTTAGTCTGGAGAGGGCACCGTCCAAACCTGAAGGAGCAGTTTGCACATGGGAACTGGGTCAAAACACCTGTTGACAGGTAGAGAAGTTTGTAATACCCAGTTCTTAGTTCCTCTCTGCTCTGCAGGTCATGTAAGAGTAAAAGGGGTAATTGTCCTACCAGTTAGCAGTTATCACAGGTTTCTACACAATCATGGGGAAGACTGCTGACTTGACAGTTGTCCAAAAGACAACCATTGACACCTTGCACAAGGAGGACAAGACACAAAAAGTCATATACAAGTTTCACTTTTTGAATGGAATTACTGAAATAAATCAACTTTTTCATGATATTCTAATTTTATGACCAGCACCTGTAGCATCACAACTCGGTAACATTAATGTTTATGCCAGCGTATACATTTTCCTGTCAACATAAAAAAATAAATGAATAACCCCAGAGTGTATAAACACATAATAGAAACTATTTACCAATGGTGACTGTAAAATTAGAGTTAGGACATTTTTTTGAGCTCACAAACTCCACAAAACATGCATACAAATCTCAGCATACAAAATACACAAACTGTTGCTGCACAACAGATTTATATGGAAGCGTATTGCTTTTATTTATTTTTCCGTGACAGCAATACACTTCCGTAGTTTCATACTGATTTAGCTCAACATTCTTCTTTTCTTAGCTCTTTGAGAAGAGTGTGTTAGCTCTCGGTTACAGTTAGCTTAGCTAGCCGTTAGCATTTACGCGATATTTTTTCTCACGTACCCGGTAATTAATGTAACTCGCCAAAAACTACAGTAGTATAAGGACCTTAAATCCATATCCATCTGTGATCTTGGTTTTAAACAGGTCCCTCTTGTAAATGAGTCCTCGTGACTCAATGAGACTAACCTGTATAAAGGTTGAACGAATGAAAAATGTCTTAAGACTTCTAATGTTTTTATTTGCAACTTTCGCTGCTGAAACTGTAGAAAGTATTTTATCCCAGATGAAAACAACATATCTCTCTCTGTTCTTTATTTTTTTCTGGATACTTTAATGCATCTGTCTGGAAAAAGCTAAACTTCCTCCGAGAACATTTTATTTAACAAACGGTTGTTTTCATTGGAAATTACACCAAACTGTACATTTTTATCTAAGGAAGAGGATTGGGGCCACAGTGTAATGTTTATTTTATTTTACTTTTTTCTAGAATTCTGACATTTGTCTCTCGAAATTCTGAGATTAAAGTCAGACTTTTTTTAAATTAAAAAATTTAAGTGAGAATTCTCAGGGAAAAAATGGGGATTCTGACTTTAATCTCAAAATTTTAACTTTAGTTGCAGAATTTCACACACACAAAAAAGACAGAATTCGGTGTGGGGGGGGGGGGGTGTCACTGTGGCCCTAATCATCATTCGTATTTTGCATGGCCAGTTTCATTAGTTTTTTAAATTGTTGTTTATTTCTTTAACAAAAGGGTACAAACAAATTTATCCACATCTTTTATATCTGTCTTGCAGTCTGTTTTTAAATATGTTGAAAATGACTAAATGTATTTTGAAACTGAACGTCAAGTTTGGATCATTGGAACCAAAAGCTGCATTTAAAATAATAGCTTCAGATTGAGTGAACATTTTCTTTCTGCTTTTTGGTAAATACACAGTTTACTTTCAAAATTTGTACTCATTTTTTTATGTATAAATTCATTTCAAACCTTTTAGATTTTTTTTTTCTGTCATCTTCAGATCTCCTGCAGGTTATCCAGTTGACATATCACAGTAAAATCAGCTGTAAGTTCACAGCTGAAGGTGTAAAAGTGTTTTGTCTTCTGCCCGTTTAGGTAAAGTTCTGGTTCACTGTGCTCGAGGAGTCAGCCGCTCTGCCACGCTTGTGCTGGCCTTCCTTATGATCAAAGAAAGACTTCCCCTCATGGAGGCGGTGGAGACTGTTGGCAGGAGCAGAAACATCCTCCCAAACGTTGGCTTTCTGAACCAGCTCTGTCACCTGGACTCAACTTTGGCTTCTGAAAGAAAAAGCACATAATATCTGAGAGGAGGATCAAAGCGTGGTTCATTTTCATGCATTCTTCACACATTTTATTTTGCAATGCAATGCTGTGAAAGTGTCCTCTCTTTTTTTTCAAATAGCTGTCTAGTTGCCTTTTCAGTAAATATTAAACAGGAATTCACAAATTTTGAATGATTAACAGCTCCAAGAATAAAGAAATAAAATAAACAACATAATTCAATCTGAAGTAAATGTTTTGACAATCATTAGGGTTACGTTCTTACAGGCTTAATTTTGTCTGGCTGCTCTGCTTTCCAGCAAATTATCCGTTCACATCAAATTATCTCATAAACACTGCAGTTTATCTCTGAAAAGATTTATAAACACTACCCTTGACTATTTGTGCCAATCAATCTCAAAAAGGTTGCCACAGCCAAATTAAATTGTCATAAAACTGCTAATTTTACAGATATTGAGCTAAAACTTGTTGGGGTAGTAGCTGAGTATCATCCTCAACACGTAATTCGGCATCATCTTTGCTTAATATTGAAGGAAAAGGAAGCAGATATTAATTTCTTTAAGGTACGCTGGCCATGTAATTACTTATTCAAAGCAGTCCGCTCCTCAGATAAATAGTGCTAACTTAATTTTTTATATATATGAATGTTTCTGTTCAGTGTCCTGAGATGACTTCTGTTGTGACTTGGCGCTATATAAATAAACTGAATTGAACTGAGTTATTATTAATTATAAATTTTAAATTAATTAAAATTTTCAATTTTGTACTTACAATTCAAAAGGCACCTATACATATATACA